GAAGTTGATTTGGTCGCAGTTGTTGTCAAGTTGGTGGTAGCAGGTACTCTTGCAGTGGAATTGGTTGGCGTGGTGGGTGTTGTTGAATCCCCGACAGTAGTTGTTGTGTTCGGTGCTCCCGTGGTGGGCCTTGTTGGTGAGGTGGGAGTCGTTGTTTTTGTTGATGTCGGCATTGTGGTGCTCGTAGTGGTTGTGGTGGACGTGGTTGGTGTTGTGGTAGTCGTTGTTTTTGTTGATGTCGGCATTGTGGTGCTCGTAGTAGTTGTGGTGGACGTGGTTGGTGTGGTGGTAGTCGTTGGTTTTGTTGATGTCGGCATTGTGGTGCTCGTAGTAGTTGAGGTGGACGTGGTTGGTGTGGTGGGAGTCGATGGCTTTGTTGTCGGCATTGTGGTGCTCGTAGTAGTTGTGGTGGACGTGGTTGGTGAGGTGGGAGTCGTTGTTTTTGTTGATGTCGGCATTGTGGTGCTCGCAGTAGTTGAGGTGGACGTGGTTGGTGAGGTGGGAGTCGTTGTTTTTGTTGATGTCGGCATTGTGGTGCTCGTAGTAGTTGTGGTGGACGTGGTTGGTGTTGTGGTAGTCGTTGTTTTTGTTGATGTCGGCATTGTGGTGCTCGTAGTAGTTGTGGTGGACGTGGTTGGTGTGGTGGTAGTCGTTGGTTTTGTTGATGTCGGCATTGTGGTGCTCGTAGTAGTTGAGGTGGACGTGGTTGGTGTGGTGGGAGTCGATGGCTTTGTTGTCGGCATTGTGGTGCTCGTAGTAGTTGTGGTGGACGTGGTTGGTGAGGTGGGAGTCGTTGTTTTTGTTGATGTCGGCATTGTGGTGCTCGCAGTAGTTGAGGTGGACGTGGTTGGTGAGGTGGGAGTCGTTGTTTTTGTTGATGTCGGCATTGTGGTGCTCGTAGTAGTTGTGGTGGACGTGGTTGGGGTGGTGGTTGTCGTGGTACTCGTAGTTGTTGTTATTGTTGTGTTCGGAGCTCTTGTGGTTGACGTGGTTGTTGTGGTGGTATTCGTTATATTTGTGGGTTTCAGAGTAGTCGTTGTATTCATTGTCAAATTCTGATAGCACTGATTTCGAATGCACTGCGATCCTGGAGGGCATTT